ATTAGGTCCTTTGGCTAGCCATCTTAAATAATCTGGCAATACAATATTTTTAACTTTTTCTTTAAACCAATTGTTGTCCCTCGCTCTTCATGCATTTCATCTACTATGATTAACAATTAAATTCTTATGTTCCCTGCAATCAAGAACATTTCTAGTTTAATCATATAATAAAGAAAAAATTATATAAAAATAAATAAAGATTAATATAATTTATCTTACTCGATAAACTTTTCCATTTGTTCATCTCCAGTATTGAATAGACCATATCGATGTGCTTCAAAGTATAACTGCGAATCCATGAGAAAAGTATTTTTTTTTCTTACTTCCAATTGGATGGCCTATATTAGGGAATATAGGTGACAAATTTTGAGAGCACTCATCATCCACAGTTTGGTACCTACTAAATTTTGTCTTCACGCCATCATGTAGATATCTCGAACAAAAAGTCAAGCACTCATCGGCCAAAAACCCCTCTGCTATTGACGCTTCTGGAGTAGATCGATTACGTACAAAGGCCTTGTACTTACATAGGTTCCTCTCAATGGGATACATCCAACGAAGATGAGCCGGACCCCCAAGCTTAATTTCATCCAACAAATGGATAGGCAAATATGTCATTATGTCAAAAAATGTTGGATGGAAAATCTTTTCAAGCTCACATGTTATTTCAACAATTTCAGACTCCATTATTTCAAGATCTCTTTGCCTTATGACCTTACTACATATAGCTCTAAAGATATTTTCCAACCTAATCAAGGCCAATGAAACATTCTTGGGCAACACTTTTCTAACAGCAACCTGGAGCAAGTAATGCATTATAAAATGGGCGTCATGACTCTTGTACCCTGATATTTTCATCTCCTTCACTTGCACGCGTTCTGAAATATTCGATGCACACCCTTTTGGTAATTTAGCATTTTTCATGAAAGTACAAAACAAACTTTTCTGTTTTGGTTCCACGTAGAAACAAGATTTAGCCAAACTTATAGTTCCATCATTATTTATTCTTGGTTGCAGCTCCTTTCGTATCCCCATTTCTTGTAAGTCATAGCGAGATTTTTCATGATCCTTTGATTTTCCATCTATTTCTAATAAAGTCCCAAGCAAACTATCACATATGTTTTTCTCGATGTGCATCACATCAAGATTGTGCCTCAATTTGTTATGCACCCAATATGGCAATTCGAAAAAAATGGATCTCTTTTTCCACGGACCCTTATCACTCCGAGGCCTTTTTTAGCTCTCTTTCCAAAGATATTGTTGAATTCAAGCAGCTCTTCAAACACTTCTTCACCCGACAATGGAGCAGGGGCAGGTCTATGCTCCTCCTTAACATCAAAAGACTTCTTATCTCGTCGGAATGGATGATCACGAGGCAAAAATCTTCAATGGCCAAAGTAACACATCTTATGACTATGTTTGAGATATTGAGAACATGTGTCATAATTGCAAGTGGGGCATGCCAATCTCCCCTTAGTGCTCCATCCTGAAAGCATTGCTAATGCTGGAAAGTCACTAACTGTCCACATTAAGGCAGCATGCATTCGGAAAGTTTGGTTGGTTTCAGCATCAAATGTGTCTATCCCAATTTCCCATAGTTCTTTCAATTCTTCAATTAATGGTCGTAGGTACACATCTATATCATTTCCTGGAGATGATGGACCTGGAATGATCATAGACAACATTATATACTCCGGCTTCATGCAAATCCATGGTGATAAATTATAGTTCATTAACATAACAGGCCACGTGCTATGAGAAATGCTCATCGTCCGAAACGGGTTGAAACCATCACTTGAAAGACCCAATCTAACATTCCTAGCATCTCTAGAGAAGTCTGGGTGCAAAGAATCAAAAGCCTTCCAAGCTTCCCCATCAGCAGGATGTCTTATGTTCCCATTATTGGGTCGTTCATTAGCATGCCATCTCATTGCAGCAGCCGTTTCAGGACACATGAATATCCTCTGAAGCCTAGGCTTTAAAGGAAAGTATCTTAAAACCTTTGCAGGGATTTTAGAGCTTGCTTTAGTCAAAGGACCACCACCCTTCCATCTTGAAGACCCACAAATAGAGCAATTCTCGGCATTCGCATTTTCTTTCCAAAATAACATGCAATCATTAGGGCATGCATGTATTTTTTCGTAATGAAGACCCAAATCTGTTATCATGTTTCTAGTCTTGTTGAAAGATTCTGGTACCTGAGCAAAGGAAAATGCCTCTTTTATCAACTCTAACAAATCGGAGAAAGCCACATTGCTCAACCCATGCAAGGATTTAAGCAAGTACAATCGAATAGTGAAACTCAGTTTACTGAAATTTTCACACCCCAGATATAACTCTTGTTTTCCTTCCTCCAACAATTTGAAAAACTTCTTTGCATCTTCAGATAGTCTTTCCCCAACTCCTTCTTCATCCCTTGCCTGACCCTCTATATTTCTAAATGTAACATGAAGTAGTCCATCAATATCGTCACGCATGGTAGAACCTTCATCATCATTGCTTGGATGAGGTGTATTTCTCGAGGAAAATCCTTCCCCGTGGAAAACCCATTTGGTATAACCATCAAAAAATCCATGAACAACCAAATGATCCTCCACCACATTTTTATAAAACCAATAGCGATTCATGCACTTTTTGCAAGGGCATAATATTTCATTTCCTTGAGCGGCTCGCTCAAATGCCTTATCAAGAAAATCATTCACTCCACTGATATACTCATCCGTCCATCTCAGGAGATTCATCCAACTTTTATCACCATTATCCACAGATATCCTATACGATAAAACAGAGGAATTAGTAGTAATAAAGAACTAGCTAACAACAACAACGACAAACCTCGTAAAATTCTACAAGTGGGGTCCTGGGGAGGGTAGTGTGTTCGTAGACCTTATAACCCCTACCTGAGTTCTGGGGAGGGTAGTGTGTTCGTAGACCTTATAACCCCTACCTTGAAGGTAGAAAGGTTGTTTCCGATAGACCCCGACTCAAGGAAAGATGAAAAGAAAGCAGTAGCAATTTCTGCCACAGACCCCGGATCATTTCTAACTATCTCAATCTTGTATGACCACGCATCCATCTAAACATGTATATTTTTGTGGCATTATCTTTAGGCCCAACATCTACTCCTATGTAATATTACTAATCACGCATCCATTCTATAAAATTTGCCTTTCACTTTGTTAGGTATCTTCATATTGCATAAGACTCCTCTGGTTCAACCATCTTATTTTACTTTTGTGTGCTACATTATCATTTCTCATGTCATTAGCTAAAAATACTTAGCCTAGACTTGAACTATACTAAGCCTAGAGTTCCATCTGAAATTCCTTTATGCCCAATTCCAGATTACTCCAAGTAATCCTCTCTTTTTGGATGAGTGCAATTCTCAATTTTTGACCAGAAAGCAATGAATGGTAAAATGCCAAATTAATTAGTTCACAAGAGATGCTGAACTATAAAATCTTGTCAACAGGTAATGTCAAAGATCAATTAGAGGCGAATAAATTAACATAAACTAAGCAAATAATAAACAAACCCAAGAACTTGAAAGTATGCTTTGAACCACTCTACTGAAGTTTGCATAAACTCAAAAGAGAGAACAGGACAGCTGATCCATGAACCACTCTCCAAGGTGAGAATCACTAATTTTTTTGCTTTTATTTTTATTTTAAGTAGAGGTATTTGGAAGCTTTTAGAATAAAAAAGAGCTTTGAGTATTAGTAGAAGCAATTTTGGAGAAACAAAAATATAGTTTTTAAAAACTTGACCAAACACTAACTATCTTTTACATTAATTAATCAAACACAAATACTTCTAACCAAAAATAATTTTGAATAAAAGTACTTTCTCAAAATAAGCTGATTTTAGAAAGTTCGCCAAACAAGCTATTAGTATCTCGTGTTATGTCTTCAGATTTGTTTCTTTTAAAAAAAATTCTTTATTCACACACAACAAAAGGTGTTCCGATGTAGCTTATATGCTAGTTAAAACACTTTTTACGACTTATCTATAAACTCCAAAAATGCTTATAAGACAAAATCAGCAACAAGTTATAGTTCAATCACACTCAACTTTAGTTTTTCTCACTTTTGGTTGGCTAGAGGAAGAAAGGAAGGTTGTGCTCCTAAAACATTAAACAATATACGGTGAAATTGGCACTAAAACTTGGAGGAGTTTTCAATGAGCTTTAGTCCGTTGTTTTTCGTCCAACCAATTTAATAACTTCAACATGAATGTCCAGATAGTTTGAATAATAAAATTGAAACACTCAAAGCGAGCATCAATTCAAGGTTGAGTTGACAATATGCATTACTAAATAGTTTATCTTCCCCTCATCATTGCAAAACTATCACAAGACAGTCTCTCCAACCTACAAAGTGACCGACCATTCAATACCACCAATTAACATTTTTATCACAAATTCTCTAATGACTCTCCTATTAAGCCATCAATGTTGTATTCTGATTAGGCTTATTTTTATGTTCAGGAGACGAGAGAATTGAAATAGTCCAACAAAAAGATTGACAGCAAGTTGAAGCACCCAAACAATCACGAAATATTTGCTCCAAAAGTTCAGGAGACAATGTGCTCCTATAAGAAGTGAACCTAGTTGCTGCAGCAAAAGGTAACCTCCAAACAATAACTAATAGCAGCAGTTCATATACTTAAACCACTTGAAATATAGTGCTTAAAAAACTAAGGTTTTCACCCATTATACAGTACGAGAAGATCCAACCACAAGAGGAGCCCAACTAAACAAGATCACAAACAATTACCATTATACAGATAAAGCTAATTCAGTAGCATAAAAAGCAGAAACTTCAGATGGGGTAAGGGTGGAGGGGACGACCATTATCAGCACAATATTCCCCCAGCAAAAAGATCACAGAACAACAAAGATTGTGTATTTCTAATCAATAACAGTACATCGCTCAAATACCCCAAAAATAAAATTAAAATCAATTAATCCACCTGTAAAGAAACTTACGATGATATCTATTCCACAGCTACCCAGCGGCAAATTCTTCTTCAGTGAGGAATGAAATAGGCGAATTAGGGCTCAACTGTTGAGAAATTACAAAATCAGTAAAAGAATAGCATGCGAAATAAATCAAAAATTTATGAGAATCGAGCAAAAACCTTGAATTAGGGATCTGTGGAACTTGACATGTTAGCCGAGCTTAATCGAGAAAAAAACCTAAACTTATTGGATGGTTCGAATTGTTTGAAGGAGCTGGTTGTTTATGGTGCGAATTAGGGCTCAACTGTTGTGTCACGACCCTAACCCCGGTCGAGATGGCGCCCAACACACTGCTAGGCAAGTCCGACCAATTCAACAACCTTAACCCTTTTTATACAGCTCATGATTCAATTAACACAAATAATTACTAAGTCATAATACTGAAACTCTGAAATATAGTTAAAACATGCGAAAAACCCAAGTAGAAATACTACTACACAGCCCGAAGAATCCGGTGTCACAAGTCTGAGCCTCTAATACATGAGTATCAACCTACTACATATCGTTCTCCAGAAATGCGGAAATAAAGCAAATTAGATAGAAGGAAGATCAGGACTGCGAACGTCAAATGCAGCTACCTTGAAACTTCCAGATATGATGCTAGGCAGAGAAGTCCTCACACAGCCTCAGGTGTACCTAGATCTGCACGCAAGGTGCAGGGAGTAATGTGAGTACTCCAACCCAGTGAGTAATAAACATAAATAAAGGCTTAGAATAAGAAATCCTGAATAGGCACAAAGTAATTCTATAAATACAGCAACTTGAACTCAGTAGTATAAAATCAGTAAAATTAGTGAAAACAATTATGGAAAATCCCACAACAGATAAATAATTAAATGACAATCAAATATGTAATGCAACACATAGACCGGTACTCTCCAGTACCCGCTGCGGCGTGCAGCCCGCTCCATTTATTTATCGTCGACGGCGCTCACTGGGGGTGTGCAGACTCCGGGAGGGGCCCCTTACGGCCCAAGCGCAATAATAAGCCATATCGTGGCATCAACTAGGCCCTCGGCCTCATATCAATATCAATTTCATACCGCTGCGGCGCGCAGCTCGATCCCATACTCAGTCCAAAATCACATAAGCCTCTCGGGCATATTAATATAGAAATATTCAGCCCAAACTTCATTTAAAAATATTAATTAAGTTTCTAATTTGAGAAAAGTGGCTGAGTTTGCAAAACAGTATTAAATTCTAGGACTGAGTTCAATGATATGTAGAAATGGTAAGAAATCAGTAACAACAATCCCTAAAGGATTTAATCAATTGGCACGAAGCCCAAATATAGCAATCAGCTCAATTAAAATAATAATAAGTGAATTTCAGTCAAATACGCAGTATATTCATCTACCGGGACAGACCAAGTCACGATCCCCAACGGTGCTTACCCCGTGCTCGCTACCCGGCGTGCAAGTCACCTTAATATAGCACTACGATGTGCAAACACGGGGTTTCAAACCCTCAGAACACCATTTACATCTATTACTCACCTCAAGCCGGCCAAAATCCTAGCTCGCTATGCCCTTGCCTCTCAAATCGACCTCCTCGCGCGTCGAATCTGACCAAAACCACAACGAATACGTCACATTATGCTATAGGATCAATACCCAATCGAAAATAATCGAAAACATCAATAATCCCGAAATTGACAAAACCCGAGCCCCGGGCCCACTTCTCGAAACTCAGAAAGTTTTACGAAAAAGTGTTCTTCATCTTCTCCCGATTCCGTACATATAAAGAACACCAAAATCGGAGTCCGTTTGACCCCTCAAATCGACCCCTAAAGGTCTCATAATCTCAGGCCCCAAAATCCTATTTTTCTACTCTTTTTCATGAATTAAAGGCTGGGATTATGGTCTATAATCACCCATAAACGAGTTTTAATAATCAAATCACTTACCTCTGTGATACCCACTGATTTTCTCTCTTAAAAATCGCCTCAGAAGCTTCTTCCCGTTCAAAAATTGGAATAAAACTCGATCTGCTCATTATAGGTATACTGTTCACGCGTTTTACTGCTCCCAATGGATTCCTTGTGAAATTTTAATGAATTTAGGCTTTTGAATCACTCAATTTGACCTTATAATGAAGGAGATATGTAAATTTTAAGATTTGCAAATAGTGCAGGTTTTTAATACGCCGTCAGGGGCAATTTCGTCATTAACCTGAAAATCTGGGCAACCTTGGTAAAATGGCCATAAAATCCTCATACGATGTCCAAATTCGACGATTCTTTTTGCTACGGGTCTGTATTTACGATACGGATCTAATGCTTCATTCAAAACAGTAATCGGAGCTCATTTGTTCAATATTATATCATTTATGCTTGACGAAACGACGTCGAAGCATAAGAAAAACGAGCACAACGCAGCCCAAACCTATCCGAAACTCACCCGAGCTCCTCGGGACCGCATACGAACATACTAACACGTCACATATGATCATTCAAACTTAGTTGCACTCTCAAAACACCAAAACTAACATCAAAACACCAAACTTACATCGGATTCAAGCCTAAGTTCTTCTAAAACTTCCGAAACACGCATTTGATCAAAACCCCAACCAAATCACCTCCGAATAACCTGAAATTTTGCACACACATCCCAAATCACCTAACGAAGCTACAACAACTCTCGGAATTCCATTCCGACCCTCGGATCAAAATCTCACCTATCAACCGGAATTCGCCAAAATACTAACTTCGCCAATTCAAGCCTAATTCTACACCGGACCTCCAAAATCACTTCCGATCACACTCCTAAGTCACAAATCATCCCCCGAAGCTAACCGAATCGTCGAAATCCACATCCAAGCCCTCTAACTTATAGGTCAACATCCGGTTGACTTTTCCAAAACAAGCCCTCCTTAAAGAGACTAAGTGTCTCATTTCCTTCCAAAAATCTACCCAATTCAACTCGTTCACACAAGACACTGATAATGAAGCATGAAATGGGGGAAATAGAGCGGTTCTCACGGGACGACGGATCGAGTCGTCACAGCCTCCCCAACTTAAACAAACGCTCGTCCTCGAACGTACCCAGAGTTGTCCT